AAAACAAAAACGCAATCATCTCTTTGCTTTCCTCAACAAATTTACTCTCTGGTGGCGTAATAGTAAGAAACTGCGCGGCAACCCGGAAGACACATGATTTGAATCCATCAGCCACTTCACAGGAAGACGGGCAGTCTCCTCCTGTGTAAATGAACTGCCTCTGAAAACCTGCCGGAGGGTTAGCTATGGCTTGGTTCTGACTTGACAGTACATAACAAACAACAACGGACAGGAATGTGTAGTAACTAAGAGCAAGGCTGATAATCATGCAGTCTGTGGTTCAAATCCACTAAGTGCTTCATGGCATAGAAATGGGCAGTCTCTGCCAATAGAAATGTACGGCCTTGGAAGCCGGAGGAATTACTATGAGCTGGAATGAGTAAAAGGCAAGACAGCTCAGGGAGGGAAAATGAGCTCAGAGACACTAAAAGAAGTTCTTTCATATCATTCTTTTAATGACTTACGTAAGTTATTGAATCCTACTTATCTTTTATGCTCATAAAATGGCATGTACAATTTCTATATTTCAATGTTGTAAGAAATTTATAAAAACGTACACAGAGAAAGTTGTAGAACACTTGCTAGCTATCGCCAGGATAGTTCTGCTTAATCAACAGTAGATGATCTGACATCAAATGTTTTGATACAGAAGCTCAGAGAAGATAGTGAATGAAAGACCACATGAAACCATGACTTACCTGTTATAGAGTTTATCATAATTTTCCTTTAAAAGTTCTCGCTCCTTTTCTAAATCATTGATTCTATCCTGCAACTAAAATGAAGAGGAAATTACATTTTAAGGAATGATTATATAACTGCCACAGGAGAGGTAAACAAAACAAAACAACCTGAGAGTAGGTTACTGTTTCAGTCTGTTGTTGTTGTTATCTGCCGTCGAGTCGTTTGTGACTGACAGAGACCCTAAGTACACACCTCTGAAAGATGCTCTATCCTGAGTCAACTTTGTTGTTTGTACACCACCTACCCCCATTACTCCAGTCACTGGGTTAGTCCATTTCATCGGGGGTCTTCCTCTGTTGCACTGTCCTTCTACCCTCCCAAGCATGATGTCCCTCTCCAACGGCTGGTCGCTCCTGGCAACACCCAAAGTATGTCCAATGGAGCTCAGAATCCTTGCTTTCAAGGAGCAGCCTAGATTTTTAAATTGTAGCTACTAAGTATATCACTTGTTTGTATTTAATTTAGCATTCATTTTTTAAGTTGTTAAATAAACACAAAATTAATATTCTTGCTTTAATTTGGTAGAAACATATGTATTACATTATGGTAACATGTCAAAACTCAATAAAGAATGTATTAAAATGTTACCGGTAAGTCTGTGAAAATATAATATTTTTTATTCCTCCCACCCCCCATGAATTACCTCATTATGCTCATTTTATATTAGTTTCTAATGGCTTCAGAAAAACAAAAAGGGGAATTGACTATTTAGGGGCTCATGGTGCCAAAAACTGAGTCAATCACTATTTACTAAGAAGACAATTTTTCCTTTTAACTTGAAATTTACAAATAGCCAATTGCAAACTTAAATAGCAACTTATAGACTTAAAAGAGCAATAGCAAAATAAATAACAAAATAAAATTATACACCTTCTTTTATCTTGTTGAATGATATTTTTGGAAAAAAATTTATGCTAATAGTTGCATCTTATAACTAAAAAGCAGATTTATGTAAAGTAGAATTTATTTTAAGTTTTATTCATAAGTATTATTTTGTGGTTCCAATCTTTTTTCATGGATTAGAGTCTTCTTAAAATTCATTTCTATTCGTGAAATTCTTTCTTTGTAAGAGAAAAGACTCAAGATTAAAACAGACTGTAGGCACTGTATTTGATTTCTATTTTTCTTAAATGGAAATACCCTCGAATAGATGACAGAAGAAGATGGTGCTAAGAGAGGAGAAGCAACACTAATAGAAAGATGAATTCTTAACAACTTTTTAGGACAAGCAGAGCCACCAATTAGATAATTCCTCCAAACTGCTGATACTGCGGAACACGAAGCATCCTTTTCCTTAATAACAGATGGGGTATAATTGACAAAATTAAGCTCCACAGGTAATTTCTATCAGTTTCAAAACGTTAGGTTCTCTTTTTAGTCAAAGGTTTTTGATATCTCAGGTGATGAGTAAATCTCAAGCCGGTAGCAAGTATTCTTAAACACTGATTTGCCATTCATGTACTTGGTGCTCAATATGCCATGTATGTAGCTCTCTCTCTCTCTTGCTCTCACTTCCAGGGAGCTAGAACCAACTCTGCTGACCTCTCAGGGGTTTTCTAAGGCTGTAAAGTGCACGGCTGGAGATTGCTCATCTTTCCCGCAGACCCCTTGAAGGGTGCACCCTTTAGGTGAGCAGCGTGATTCTCTCTGGACTAGACTATCAGAGCTCCCTACATGTACCTAGTCGTTGTTGTGTTTCCTTTTTGGGTAAGATCCAGAGCTGACCCTCTAGCAGGCTTTCAGAAGCAGTTAATCACGGGGCGCTTAGAATTTTAAAATACATAGATCTGAACTGTCTGTTCTTCTTTTAAAAAAATTTACTACAGATACGTTTTAATGCAACAGATGGGCCCCTTTGGAAACTTACCTCTTCTAGCCTTTTTTCAGAAAATGTCATAGAGTTTAATTGTTTCTCAAGATTGCAGCATTTTAAGCGCTGCTCTTTAAGCTGCATATTTAGTTCATTTCCATTTGCCATCAAGGCATCATGGCTGATCCTGAGAGTTTTTTGCTTCTAAAAAGAAAAAAGTTTTAAAAATTATTTTTGGATTGTGTTTTGGATAAGTGACAGGAATTCCAAGAATATGTTTACGTCTAAATATATTTGTTACTATATAATTTATTTCTCACATCATAAAAGATGCATGCTGACTGCTTGTTCATGGAGATACTCTTGATCCACAGGTATCACAAAGAGGAAGAAAATGCAGGCTTATCTTAGAAGAATACACATAATACAAAATTATTTTTGGCTTTTATTTCTCTAAGTTCCAACTTGTCAATAGTAGCCTGTAAGTGAATTAGTTTTAACAATTTTTCCTCCCTTTTTTTGCTATGGTTATAGTCTTTGGACATGCTGTCTAAAAATGCTGTTGCATGAGTCAAAAATAAGTGCTGACCACAGATATTCAAAATGAGAGGATTTGTAAAAAACTTTGGTGGAAGGCTTTAAATTTTAATACAATTAAAATTTTTAATAGTCTTTCAAACTTTCAAAATGGCCCATTTATAAGCATGCTCTCAATTCAGCTTTATAAATTTAAATGCAACAAGCCTCTTTTGTAAAGTTGATTACATTACTTTCCTAATGGCAACAGAACCTGTAACACCTCACTACCAAATCAAGTCATTTAATTCAACTGAAGTTCCTGCTCACTTATTTAAATGAAATGTGGCTGTTGAGCTACTTCAAGGCCAATTGACTTTAATCTTGGTATTGCCAGCGACACTCTCTCTAGCCATCTTTCTCAGGGCTTCTGACCTCACCGAGACTACTGCCTTGACCCTCTCCGATCTCTACCCTATGTTAATTCCCACAAGAGTTACCTGGGCAACAGGAGATACTCAATGATGCTATTTAAGCAAGTAATTGCAATCACTTTAAATGGAAATAGAAATAGTTAAAAATGGGAAAAGAATAAAAAATTATTTTTGGAAGCTTTCTTAATGCCTCACTTTCAAAATGGCTTTCAAATAGATGATGCACTTTTAAATTTCCTTCTTCTCTCCATCTGTAGATAGTGATATAATTTCTTCTCTAATCAGTCCCTCTAACAAACTCACATTTACATGGACGGGAGTTATTGCTTGGCATTTAAGAAGGTTCTTACTGGATGAAAAATTCTACCTAAAGTATGCTTTAAAAGTACTTCACTATCCTAAACACAATCAGACCTCTTGAACTTTAGCTTTCACACTGTCAAATCATACGAACTAGATGATACCCAGCTACTGTGGCTGCTTCTTCCAAAAGGGATCACAAAACGGTTCCCTGGATAAAGCAGAGAATAAATTTAGAATAAAACTCAAAATCGCAATTATTGCCAGACTTACTGGTTAGGAAGACCAGTGGAACTCCAGACACTATAGTTCTTGGCCCTACTTCACGTCTACAACAGAGGTCATGGTTATGGGGTGGAAAAAGAAAAATGCTTCACTATCGTAATAGCGAATTCCATTTTCAGGTGACCCCATACTTTGCATAAATTTACTGTTCTCCTTGTCTCAGTACTTCAAAGACATTGTGCTTAATATGAATTCTGCTCTGGAATGTTTTAGTGTTCATTAATAAGATAACTCATGTAAATTATGCAGTGCCAAGAAATAGGAGCCCTCTGTGGGGCTATCGTCCTTAATAAAACAAACCACTAAGAAGAGGAGTTTCAAGTACTGTTAACATGAATTAAATATTTAAAATAAACACGTAAGTAGTTAATATTACGAGTAGTCAAATATTTGATGAAAACAGCAGTGACAAACCAAAAACAAAGGCCCAAAAGATACATCCCAAAGAAGAGAGTCAGAGAATATGATTATTGATCTGTTCATAACTCTGGTCTACCTTAGATACTTTACAAATGTTTAGAATTGAAGCTAGATGCAAATACACTTCTTCAAAGCTTCAATACAGACAATGAGTTCAAATAAAAGGAGTTAAAGAGAAACACTCTTGACATGAGATGATTTATGACAATTGTGCTCATTATTTCAAGATTACAGAGATAGTTATAAAAGTTCAACCAGTGACTTACTGCTTTAGTTAAGTTATAAAATAACAGACAACATGTGAGGGCAAATTATATAAACTCAAGAACAAAACAATCATAAGATTTGTTTTACTGTTATGGCAATTCTACTTTTGAAAAACACTTTGAATGTTAGTATTGAGTTGTTTTTATCTATGTATAACGACAACATAATCACAGTACCTCTTGAAGCTGAATAAATTTTCCTTCCATCACTGAAAGGGCATTGCTTTTCTCTACTAATTGCTTATGAAGCTTAATCATTTCTACATTGTCCCGAATGTTTGACCTTCAAAGTTGATTTTAAGAAACAACATAAGATTGAAAAAAAAGAGAGAGAGAAAGAAAAATCAATGGTGGAATCACAGTTTTTGACTTAACGATACCTAGAAAATATTTCTATACTGTTATATCATTTGCCAAGACTTTCAGCATATTACATACTTTGGTATTTAAAACCAACTATTTTTAAAATCTATTTTGAACTTTCAAAAGTACAGACTTTATGTTTAAAGAGAATCCCCAACACTTGACGAGGGTCCACTTGTATAATGATTGATTAACAAGGATTGGAAATCATTTGTGTCCTGAAAAATGTCATGAGAGCCCATCAGCCTTGAGCACTGCACCATTCTACCACTGAACTTCAGACGTATTTCAAGGACAAGCATTCCACTTTTCCCTAAATGAAAAATATGCAACACAGCTCCTCATCACCCCACCACTCCCTCGAAGCAGATGGTATCCTAAGATTACCATTTATTGGCGTTTCCTCTTTGAGTTTAACTTTTCAAAATATTAAAAAAAAAGTGACTTAGCATTTTATACTAATAATGCCCAAAGCTGGCATTTAAATATGTTGCAGATGTGTCTTTAGCTGTACGGGATCATTTGACATCCACAGGGTATGTAGAAACTCTATATGCTGCAATACTACTTTGTATTTTTCCTACTGAGATTAAAGCAAATGTAGAATTTAGCAGGAAGATCTTGTTAAAGGTTAATCATAGATCTAAATGAATACCTTTTTTCAAAGCACATTTGTTCTCCCGACAGAGAAAGGTTCCCTAATTAAATATGTTTTACATTCAAAATATTTGAGAAATTGTAAAACTTGGTCATAGGCCTAGGTTTTTTGTTGTTTTTTTTTTTTTTAAATGAAAAATTCTTAAATTCCGAGAATTGCTTCGTTATTTAAAGTAAGTGATTTTACTTCCTAAACTTATCTAGTGTACACATATTGAAAAAATTGTCACAATACCCTACAGGAACAAGGAAATGGGCTACAAAGCTCACACATCTGTATACCAGCTGAGGACTTGAAATACTTGGTTCTCCTCTTTGATATTTGAAAGTTCATTGTATTTTGGCATTGGACAGTTAGTTACCCTCACAGAGAAGATAAACAAGTACAAGAACCTGGGTAGGATCCAGGTTCTTGTAATAGTTTATCTTTTGTGTGATGATACTAACACAGTCTTGATTTAATATTAAAATAAGTGTTTAAAATACATTATCTAGGAGTTCTGAGCACATTTTCAATAGTACATTCACTATTTTTACTTGGCTAGTTTTAAAAAAACCAATACACCACCTGATGATAGACACATATTTTAAAGAAATTGTTAATATTCACTTTTCCCCCTCTTCATTCTTAGAAACCATTTTTATTTATAATTTACCTGTTTCCTTCAGAATATGCAATTTAGTCACTCAACAGTGGGTGATATTTATTGATACAAAAGGAAAGAATAGGACTTAAATAATTTCAAATATTTTCTTCTATTTTAAGTACCTGATAGTTCCTTTTTCTAGATTTTAAATATGTTATTATTTTCTAGAAGATGTGGAAATATCTGAATAAAAAGTATCAATCCCTTATATGGGAGTAACAAAGAATTAAGGTGACATTTGAATGACCTGTGCATTCACTGTGTATTGAGTTGGTCCCAACTCATAATGACCGTCCATAGGGATCCCAAGGCTGTAAATCTTTATGGAGGAGACTGCCCACCTTTCCCCCTCAGAGCAGCCGATGGAGTTGAACTGCCAACCTTCCATTTAGCAGCCCAAAACATTCTACACTACACTATACTACCAAGTCTCTTTATTTATTTAGTTACATAGGGTTAAAATTATAAAGACAAGTCTTAATTTTTAATTTTCCTTGTGAGGCAAAAACCAATTCAGTAAATCTGAAGAACTTTTAAGTGTTTTAATTGGTAGATGCTTTCATGAGTTATTTCCTAAAGCTCTTTAAAGTTTAAAATGATAAAAAAAATCCATAGTAGTAGTATTTAATATTAATCAAGCTGAAAAAGTGGGCATACAAGTAACATAAGTAGTATTTAGAAAGCATTAATAGCAGTATAATACAATAATAAGTTAGCGTACTATAGAACACAGCTATTCTAGGATAAAGCCCTTTAAATTTTATTTCTTCGTTGTTGAGAATACACATAGTAAAACACATACCAATTTAACAGTTTCTGTAGGTACAAGTCAGTGACACTGATTACATTCAACTTGACAATTATTTTCACCCTTTTTCTGAGTTGTTTACAAACAAAAGCTCACTGCAACCTAACATGACTATCTAATCTTGCTAACTGCTGTTGTTCAACTCGATCCCTTATAGAGATGGTGGTGATGTCAGGTGCTGTCCAGTCAAGTATTATCTATAGCAACCCTATGAACAACAGGTCTGAACCCTGTCCTGGTTTGTCCCATAATCACAATCTCTGACACACTTGAGCCCATTGCTACAGCCCGTCTCTGTTAACCTATCTGGTTTAGGGTCTTCCTTTTTTTTTGCTCACTCTCCATCTGTCCACGCATGATATCCCTCTCCAAGGAACAACCTCTCCTAGCAACATGTCCAAAGTATGTGAGATGAAACCTGATCTCCTTTTCATCCAAGAAGAACTCAAGCTGCACTTTCTACAAGACATATCTGTTCTTTTAGCAGTCCATGGGATAGTCAGTACCCTTCAACACCACAGCTCAAAGACAGTCATTCTTCTGTCATCCTTCTTCATTGTTCAATTATTAGATGCACAGCAAAAGACTGAAAAGACCATGGCCCGAATCAGGGGCACCTTAGTCCTCAAACTGGCATCATTACTCTTCGATAATTTGAAGAAGTCATTGACTGCAGACTTTCCAAGTGCAATGTCTCCTGATCTCTTCATTGGTACCATGGGTACTGATTGTGGATCTAAGTCAGATCAAGCTGTTGACAGTTTTAACCTTTTCTCCATTTATCCTGATGTTGCCTTTGCTCCAGTAATAAGAAATTTTGTTTCCTTGACGTTGAGATGCAGCCCATATTGAAGGCTGTATTCTTTGATCTTCTGCACCAAATGCTTCAAGTCCTCCTCACCTTCAGCAAACAAAGTTTTATCATCTGCATAATCTAGGTTATTGATGAGTCTTCCTCCAATCCTGACATTCTTCATCAGATCCTTTATACAGAGTTCTTTGTTGTTGTTGTTGTTAAGTGCCGTCGAGTCGCAGACGACTCATAGCGACCCTATGAAGGAGAGTCCTTGACGCTCAGAGTTCTTTAACAAAGAATAATGCTTAAGGGAGACTTAAAAAAAAAAGAATCCTTGTTGTTATTACGACTACAGAGTCTATTCCAACTCATAACAACATATTGTTCATTTTTAAGATGATTTCAGAGAACATTTTTTATTTAAATGTTAAACATTATCTCAGGGTAATAGTTTCAAGGGTTTATCTGGTCTCCATTGCTCTAAAATGTCTATAGTTAGTGAAAAATTTGAAATTTTATCCAATATTTCCCCCTTTTAAATGTGTTTATGGATTCCTTGGCAAAAATGTTTAGAAAATATCTAGGTTTCATTTACTTCTTTTGGTCTCATGACAAAGGAAGTAATTTGTGAAGGCAATTAACTACACATTTCATATCCTCCTATTCATGACTCTCTCATTTTTTCTCTCTTGCTCCAGGTAAAGAGATCCTTTCAATGTCTGGGATGGCCTCTTGCAAGGTTTTCAGACTCCAGGCGCTATGCAACAAACCAGGAGGTAAAACAGAAGCACTGAACATGGTATACGCCATTTAACTGGAATGTCCCATGACCCTACACCTTCAAAACTTTTAACTAAATCCTATGAGGTGTTCAGCTGCATAGAATAAGCTTTAGTAGCTGCTTCTTTTGTTGTTGTAAATATATCTATACAGATTTTGCCAATTTAACTTTTTACAAGTGTAAAAGTTACTTACAGCAATTAAAATACACTTTAGTTTCTACACACTGGCCTTAAAGGCACAGTAGCATCTATTAAGACTTCATTTTTTGTTCTGGCTAAGTAGTATTCCGTTGACTCTACAGACTATATTTCACAGACTATATTTCTACAGACAAAATATCTAGTCAACTGCTGATGGATATTTAAGCTGTTTATACCTTTTGGCTATTGTGAGTAATATTACAAAGACTATGCATATGTCTCTTGCTGAGTCTCTGCTTTCAAGCCTTTTGGGATGGGAATGACTAGGTCACCTGTAGTTCTATTTTTAGTATATTGAGGTTCTTGGAGTGGCATCCACTTCCTAAACAACATGCCTTTGGAAACTCGGTGAACTTTGAGAAATGGCAATAGTTTTAGAAAGGCTTCAGGTCTTTTGTTCATAGGGTCGCTATGAGTTGTGCTCGACTCGAAGGCAGTCAACAACAGCAACTACAAAACAGTTAAACATATCACCTTGCATTCCCATCCACAGTAGTAAAGGTTCCAATTTCCCCACATGCTGAGATTTGTTCTTTTTCTAACTTCTCCTTGCTGTCGGTTTGGAATGAACTCACAGCTGACCCTCCAGGCGGCTTCCCAGGATGTAAGTCACGCGGGAGAGCACCTGAATTTCTCTCTTGGAGCCATTGGTGGATTCGAACGACCAGAGAGGAGCACCATTTTGGTTAGCCATGCAACTATGACACCAGAGCTCTTGGCACGTGTGAAATTGTATCTCCTTGTAGTGTTGATTTGCATCTTTCTGAAGGTGAATGACACCGAGCATATTTTCATGTGTCTGGCGGCCATCTGAATGTCCATTCTGGTGAATTGTCTATTCAAGTCCTGTGCCCACCTTATGAGTTATTTGTATGTTTTATTGTTAAATTGGCGTTTTTATATGTATTTTTGTGGTTATATGGTTTTCAAAGACATTTTCAGTCAAGAGCTTTACTTTTTATATTGATAATAAAGTCTTTTAATGAAAATAATGTCTGAGGACAAAAAAAAAACCCTCACCAAACCCAC